TCTCTATGAAATGCTTGACTTCGGACCATGAGGACAAAAGACCAATGTGACTGGGTGATGATACAAAATCCCGCAAAGGCCATCGCTGCAACTATCTATATCAGGCCTACCTCGTACGAGAGAACGCTAACCAGGTCTAGAGACTACATTAACATGGGAATATGCGAAGTAGGCAACCTAATGTTGAGGTAGGCTCTATAAGAAATTCAGGTTTTGTTTTAGGTTGACGTGGACACGTATCATTGTCGCGCCAATATCACTGATACAAACAGCCATGTTGCGGTCACATCAAAATACAGGTAAAGTACATAAACCGAACAGCACGGGACTATTCTTCACGCGCTCAGTGGTAGGTAGCCTCTCAAGCTCTGCGTTTTCTCCTTCAACGATGCCCTACCCAGCGATAACTCTGTCCGCCCTTTCACAACTAGTAGCCTCGCCAATGTGTCTCTACAATATGCCTCTCCACAAAGTGACTTCTCCAATTGCCAAACCTTCTCACATCACTCTCACAATCTCTCACGAAACATCTGTCGTGTTTTTTCATGTCTGCATGCCACACCACACTGTCGCGCCTCAGACAGACCCTGCATTTCTCACAACCGATTGGAAACTCATGTTGATGACGTTCCAGCTGGTAGCGACTGGGAAACCATTGATTACAGACGGGGCATTGTTCGCGGTCGAGGTTTGGCTGGGCTGAAAAGGAGTATGTACCCGTGGGTGTGTTGACTGAGAACTCTGCCATCGAGAGAGCATGGGTGTCGCTCGAAGTCTCAAGCACTTGGACGACAGACTGTGCTAGGTTGTTCGATTGTGCATTGGTGATGTAGCCGTTTCCATGATTCGAGTAGCGTACTAGAGCCCTGCCAGGGTCGTAGCGCGCGAATAGATTGTCGTCGTCTGGAAAATGAGCATGACGATGACGAGCGCGGGCGCCGATATGACGATGTCCGCTACTGACGGAATCACTGTTGTAGGCGTATGCTCGTGTAGTAGAACGATGTCGCGCGCATCTGGTTCCGGTGCCTCTATGCCAGTCGTCGCATGTGCACAGCGGCATGTTGAATCGACTTGAAATGTGGCAGGCTAGATCAGAAAGAAGGTGGATTCGGGCAGCGAAACTATATCATGATACAGCCTTTGAGATTTACAAACCACCAGGCTGCATACACGAGTGGTCTTGATGGCGTGCAGGTTCACCGGATGAGACGGGCCCAATCGCAGACGGGGCGGCAGGGCAAAGCCAATGGATGAGAACAAAAAAAAATGCATATCGACAGTGAGATAATAGAGAGAGACGGTCTGCTCACCGGTTTGCAAAGAGATAAGATCAGGCAACGTGGTTGCTGATTTTGTAGTCCAGCCTTGCGCGATATCGAGATATGGCTAATGTGTTAGCGGTAAAAAGCTTCAAGGACTATAGACAGCAGCAGCGTAGTTGTATGAGTAACAGAAGCAGAATTCAAAACCTCGGACATTGGGAGCCAGTCTAAGCTATGATTAGACGATGTCGTCTTTTGTTGATGGTGGACTGTGTTGTTTCCCTGAGAGGAGCGATGTTAATTCCTGGGATGTCGTACATGCCCTAGTTCTGCCCGATTGCGATCTTCTCCACAGAGATGACAAACAGAAAGTGTCGTTGAAGCATGAACTTGCGGTGCTCTCCTAGCTAGGTAGCAACATTGTAGAGGAAGGTGTAGGCACGTGCCCAGGCGACGAGGGTGAGTCTGGCGCTAGCGGGGAAGTTCTTGGCGCTCTACGAATTTCAAGAGATGGAGCTCTAGCTACGCGACCAACTTTGGCAACTCCGCGCAAAACACTGAACGATACCCAGGCTCGCAGCGAATCTCTTAAACCGCTTTCTCAACATAATACACACCACAGACTACCGCCAACATGAGGTTAACAACAGACCTCATCAACAATTCCCTGTCCTTCATCAACTGTCTCACGGAGCGCGAGCTCGATCTGCGAGGTGCGTTGAAAAGAGCAGATGCTACACTTGAGAGCTGAGTTGATATCAATATCGTATAATCTAGGTCACAAGATTTCCGCGATTGAGAACATGGGAGCAGCGCGAGTGAGTTGCATCATTGCTCCGAACATAAATCGCCATATTGACAGGGTGACAGGACAACGACGCCATAGATCTCACCGACAACGACATCGCACAGCTCGGCAACTTCCCACTCCAACCCCGTCTCCGAACGCTCTTCCTCGCGCAAAACCGCATCTCCAACATCCAACCCAACCTCTCGTCGAGCATACCAAACCTGCGCACACTGGTCCTTACCAAGAACAGGATCGCAGAGCTGGCCGACTTGGATCCGCTGGCGGGTTTCAAGCAACTGGTTTACCTGTCATTGATGGGGAACCCTGTCACAAGCAAAGAGGTATGTGCCTGACCTTGTTGAGCCATGAACCTTTGAGCCTAATGGTGCAAGCAAACTTGAGCCTGGGGATCGGAAACGGTGCAGGGTGAGCCACTCGTTGCGATTTGGCCGGCTCAGGATCGCATGATGGAGGCTATTATGCGCAGCATGCTAACATCACATAGAACTACCGGTATTGGGTCATCTGGCGCTGTCCGACTGTGCGCTTCCTAGACTTCAGCAAGGTGCGGGATATTGAGCGAAAGAAGGCCAAGGAACTGTTCGGAACTGTCGACGAGCCTACAGAACTTGCAAACCAGGTTCGTATAACGACTGTCTTCAAGTTTCATCTGACTAACTCTCCCAGATCTCGAGCAACAAGTCCAAGGGCTTCGTCGTCCCCTCGTACGCGAACGGTGCCGACTCGGGCAAGGAGCGCATCTACACCGACGAAGAGAAGAAGCGCATGCGCGCTGCCATCCTCAACGCAAGCAGCTTGGCCGAGATGGCGAGGCTGGAGAAGGACTTTGCGGAAGGTCGGATACCAGCGCATATTCTCGAGGGAGGAGACCCCATGGAGACATAGGCGCTGTACTGTCCGGAAATCTCGATGAGGGTCAAAACGCACGCACGATGACGGTATCACATCTCACGACTGTGCAAAGCCCTGCGCGTGCACGAGCAAGAGGGGGCACGCAAGCACAGTATCGCATGGGAGGATTCTGCACGCACTGCATGAGGCTTCGAAGGAACACGGCAGCGTGCAATGGTTATAGGGAAGAGCTGGTGATGCCAACAGTGATCAGAGCACGGCACTGAAGCGCTTGAGTCGGAAGTAGATTGATCTGTAAGAATTGAAACAGACTGCTTTGCGCCAGAAGGCGTTTCCCACCCATGGTATCGTAGTAATATACTCAGAACGCCGTGATGCCGTGTACCATCGTATCTCGAGCCTACATTATCCTGCCGTCCAGAGAAGGCATGTCCTGACGGCTTCCTTGCTACCACCCTCTTCCCCTGCCACCGCGTCCTCCTCTGCCACCACCGCCTTGATGACCCTGCTGGAAACCTCCGCCTTGCTGACCTCCAGGTCCGCCGGGGAAGCCACCCATGCCTTGGCCTGCCATCTGCATGAAAGACGCAAAATCCATCTGACTGGGATCCATGCCTTGCTGCATCATCTCTTGCATCATCATCTGCATTTGCTGTTCGTTCATGCCTCCAGGTCCCATAGCACCGCCGCCGCCGCCACCGCCGCCGCCTCCTCCCGGGCCTGTCGGCGGCGCACCACCTGGCCCCCCATTGCCCTGCGGACCACCGCCCATGCCAGGCATTCCAGGCATACCGGGCATCGGTGCGCCGCCCATCATAGCCTGCATTTGTGCCATGTCGTTCTTCTGACCCTGCAGAGTGTTGGCCATACTGACTTGTCTTTGGCGATACAACTCCCACGTGAACTCGTCGAAGCCATAGTTGAAGTAGTCCGACTGGTCTTCACCAGGTCGACGCCAGATCTTTTGCTCTTCCGCTAAATCGGCATCGATGTCTACGCTGAGAATCTCTTTGCCTTGTGGTGGGTAGACGGGGTTCCCGTTGACATCGATGGTCGAGGTGCGCTGCGCGGGGAAGGCGGTGCCCGAGAGGGCTGAGGCGGACAATTGAGGGACAGTGCCGCCACTTGTGGGGACGGTCTTTGGAGGTACTTGTTGCGAGGGCGTGGTCGAAGAGGTGGGTGGTGCTTCGATCTTTATGGCTTTGGATTCTTGGGGTGCTTGCGCGCTGGACCGGCGTGTCAGTAGCTGTAGTGATAGCAGGAATCTGAAGCTCGGAGCTCAATAGAAGCTTACGCTGTGGGTTTGGGGGCTACTGGCGCCTTGTCAATGATGATCTCGATGTCCTACAGCTTCGTTAGAACTGGCGCGAGCTCTTCGTGGGTTTCTTGTTCGGCATACCGAGTCGCTGTCTTCTTCATCGCCCGACTCTTCGTCCATTGGCTCATCGCCGCTGGAGTTGTCCTCCTCTTTCTTTGCGTCGTTGGTCTGCTGCGCGGCTGTCTCGTCGCCATAGAGATCGTCGTCGGATTCGTCTGCCATGGTGCCGTGATTTTCGATCCACCAGTCAAAAGGCGCGCCTGTAACAATTGAGTCCTTCCTCCAAGGGATCACTATGTATCCAGCTCTTTCAAGTGCGCGCAGGAGAGACCGGGCGTTCGCGACTCTCTCGCTCTTCTTTGCACGATTTCTGCTGTTGGCGGTGACTTGACGTGTGGGATCCGTGAGCTACACGAGTTTTGTACGTAGGCCTTTGGTAATGAACTTCAGCTTCTTTGAGTTGCTGGATAAGGGAATGATTAGCCGAGTAGACTGCACGCGTTCTGGCCTGTGCTGTTCCTGGCGCGCCGCCAAACAAACGCAGGCGTTGTCCTTGACCTACCGACCCATCTTGTGCACTTCCACATACGCGCATCTCCACGCGCCATCCTTTTCGACGCTGGCCAGAATTGCCTCAAGCTTCTTGGCGGAGAAACCTCGAGTATTGTATCGACTTAGCTCCTGCGCATTCATCGCGAACGACTGTATGCACACGGCGCATTAGACCAAGGACAACGAAGAAGACTAGAACAAAATGGCGGGCTTTGGGCGATCAAACTCGCTGAGTATCAATACTGGCGGTGGTGGTGGTCTCTTGTACGTCTTCCCGCATCTTGTGTCAAGCGCTCTGCCGGGTATCTACCCTTGCTACTACCATTTCGAGTGCACGCGATGCAGTCTATATGGCAATTACGACTGGTTGAAGCAGTAGACTGACGATACCAGTGGCAATAATGCAAACCAAGGCCAGCAGGACAGCCAGCCACAGAGCAGCGGCGGGCTCTTTGGGTCTGCCCAGCAACCCCAACAAGCACAGTCGGGCTCGCTCTTCGGCGGTCAGGCTCAGGCTCAGACTTCGCAGCACGCAAGCGGAGGCCTGTTTGGCAACCTGAACAAGCCTGCGACAACGGCGCCTGCGAGCGGAGGGCTCTTCGGCTCTTCCACCGCGCAATCAACACAACCACAGAGCGGAGGCCTCTTCGGCGGCGCATTAGGCGGAACCTCACAGAGCCAGCCCCAAAGCACACCCCAATCCGGTGGCCTCTTCGGCGGCGCTCAGTCGAAGCCATCACTGTTGTAAGTGACCATGGCTGCTCGCGGTGACACAAGCTAACTGAAAGTCCTAGCGCCTCGTCCACACAGCAGACAACAACACCCTCCTTGTTCGGGAACAACACCTCCACCCAGCAAAATCAAACATCCGCCCCTTCGCTCTTCGGTTCGACTCAACAGCAAGCCCAGCCCCAGCAGCAGAATACTTTGTTCGGTGGCAGTATGAACACACAGAACAGATCGAATACGCTCGGTGGCTCTACTTTAGGAGGGAACCAGATGGCATCAAGCGCGCAGCCCGTTCAGATGACCCTCGACTCGATACGAGGAACCACGCGTTTCAACGACCTGCACCCCGAACTGCAAAACATTATCCAGCAGTTCGATGAGGGCATCCAGCGCAAGGTCAACTTCTGCAGCCAGATTCGCGAGGCCCTCCCTGGCAGCGAGAAAGAGATCGACACCATTGCGCCTGACGTGGCCTACATCGAGACCTTCCTTTCCACCGTAGAAGTCGGCCTGGATAACGATTCCGCCAACATTGCGCACCTCAAAAGCCTCGTCAAGAAGGATGCCGACGACGCGACTCTCAGCTTCCGTGCCATTGAGAACCAGCGACTACCGGCGCAGTTCCACTACCGCAACAACGCCAACCTCACAGCGTCAAGCGCAAAGGCTCCTGCGACCAGTGCTCTGGACGATGACGACCCGACGAAGCCTGTCGACCTCATGGGTTACTTCAACCGCCGCACCGATGAGCTCGGCCGTACTCTAGACGTTTACCAGCGCCAGATTCGCGAGATCGAGACGCACCTACGAACGATGGAGGCCGGCACTGTGGAGAAGGCTCAGCAATTGACCGGCAGTCGAAGCGCACCACGCGACCAGCGTCGTGAGCTGGTGGAAGCGCTCAAGGCCATTGAGGGCGCCATTCTCGACTCGGCGAAGAAGGTTGGACAGGTCAGGGACGAAGTGACGAAGCAGACGTTGGGAAATGTCGGTGCCGCCCTGCTCTAAGGTGCATCGTGAAACAATGATTCGTTCTCGGAGTTTGTAGCATTGAGAATTTGGGAAGGTCACTTCGTTTACAACGGCTCAGGCGCAACGATTTCCTGGACGGCATCTCACACATGTACATATTTGGACGAACTTGCAAAAGCACTAGATACCCCCGAATTCTGGGTCTTCCTCCCTATGTGATTGTTTATTCAATATCCCGGGCCTTGCTGAATGTCTTGGTGATCCTACACTGTGATTGCTCATGTCGTACTAAGGCGGAATTCCATCGCGAGGCGCTTTGTCACGCCAAACGTTAGTCAAGCTTTTCAATGCTGAGTAAAGTCCACCCTTGGAACACGCGCCCCACCAAATCGGAACCAGAGGAAGCTATGACGTCTCCACCATCGTCCAGCTGCTTGCTTTCAATGACAGCTATATAGCTGCAACGCATCTCTGGAAGTTCATATTGCTGTTCTATGTTCTCACGCGCTTTGCGACTCAGGACAAGTACAAAGTGTTCTCCAATCTCAATAAGATATTCACGGTCATTCTCCACTACATCAAGTCGCGCAGCCATGGACAAAGCACCACAACAAGACAGTAAGGATGGGAAGGGATCGATCCTTGACTGGGTAAGAGATCTTGAAGTTATTAGCCAGCTTTGCAGACAGGTCCAGTGGATATTGGGTTTTGCACCAGCATACTGACTGCACAATAAGGTCAAACCCGGTGACAAGAGCGGCGAGTTCAAGCGCCAAACATCCGTCTTCAGAAACTGGATCCAGAACAAGCCTGATGCCGAATTCCCACCTGAGAAAGGTCGCTACCATCTCTATGTCTCCTACGCCTGTCCCTGGGCGCACCGCACACTCATCGTGCGCCACCTAAAGGGCCTCGAAGACATCATCTCCTACAACAGCGTCCACTGGCACATGGCGGAGAAGGGCTGGCGATTCGCTGCTTCTGACGAACATGTTTCTGGTAACACCACACCAGACCCGATCCACGAAGGATACACGCATCTACGCGACATCTACTTTGAGCAGAACCCAGACTACGAAGGCCGCTTCACGGTGCCGACGCTGTACGACAAGAAGGCCAAGAAGATCGTCAGCAATGAGAGTGCGGAAATCATAAGGATGATGTACACCGAATTCGACGATCTCGTCGAGGAGAAATACAGGAAGGTAGATCTATTCCCCAAGGACTTTCAGAAGGACATCGAGGCCATGAACGACTGGGTGTACAACGATGTGAACAACGGTGTTTACAAGTCGGGATTCGCTACGTAGGTTACACTAAATCACTCACATGATGTTGAGTAGGATGTACTAATGAGACCGCAGCACGGAGGAGGCATACACAAAGGCCGTGACGCAGCTTTTCAAGTCTCTTGATCGGTTGGAAGAATCCATGGCTCAGTCTTCCACACCATATCTACTGTCAAGCCCGCACGTGACGGAAGCCGATGTCCGCCTTTTCACCACGATCATCCGCTTCGATCCCGTGTACGTTCAGCACTTCAAGTGCAATATCCGCGATATCAGATCGGGATACCCGCACCTTCACAAGTGGATGCGCCATCTGTACTGGGTATGTTTTCCTTAAGCCTCACAGTCCCTCCTTCGAGGATTATTGTCGGCCACTCTTACTGACAGGAACGGAACAGGACTACCCCGCTTTCAAAGAAACCACAGACTTTGAGCACATCAAGAAGCATTACACAAAGAGCCATGGTCAGATCAACAAGTTCCAGATTACGCCCATTGGGCCTTTGCCGGATATCTTTGAGAAGGACGACGAAGTGCCCAGTGTCAAGGCCGCGAAGAAGTAGTTTACGTAGTTGACATGTAATGATATTCTTCCTCTGAAGATCATGTATCTACTGTTTCAGAGCTAGTACCATGCTCGCCGCAGCCAGAGCGCCCATCAGGCCTACAGCCAGTATGACAGCAGCGAACGGCATGAGCGGCGGGCGCATGCTCTTCGACTTCATATTTTTGATTTCCGTTTCTAGTCGTTCAGCTAGCTTCTCTTTCGAGAATTCAGCGATGACTCTTTCCCTACCCCACTTGCCCATCTCTCTGAGCCGTTCTTCGCCCTCGCCATCTTCGAGCGCAATGCGCATAACTTCGGTCCAGTCCTGCACTTTGGTGACGTCTCGCAGCCAACCCGTCTGCCCGCTGATGACGGTCTCGGTAGGCCCGCCCTCGTTGGCAGCCAGGACCGGTGTGCCTACTAACATTGCTTCTAGTGGTACAATGCCGAAGTGTTCATGCAGTGGGGTGTATACGAGGAGGCGCGAGGTAGACAGCAGCGTGGCCTTGAAGGCATTGGGGACGGAGTGGAGGAAGAGGACCGAGATGTCGTCGGGGATGGCCTGGGCAGTAATGACAGTCTTAGCAGTCGCGTGCTTCAGTTTGAGTGAGTCTGCGAGTTCACATAGCTCGGTGTATGTAGAGACGTTCTCGGCTACCCTGGGATCATAGCCGCCTGCGATTACAAGCCGCGCATTCTCGCGTTCTTTGGCCGACAACCCCGCAAATGCTCTGATGGCAAGCGCTACGTCCTTCTTCTTCTCGAAGCGGTTGATGCTGAGGAGCACCTTCTTGTTCTTCCATAGGGGCGTGATTTCCTCGACCGGCTCGCCTGGGTTGATGTCTACACAGGGATATACAACGCCCGGCTCACGATGTTTCAGGGTGGGGAAAGCCTCGCTAAAGATGCTCTTGGTGAAGTTGCTGTTGACGACAATGGTGTCGCTGCACCCTGTACTCCAGCTCTCCAGCCAGTCAAAGGGTCCACGGTACAACGTCTTTAGTAGGCCACCCTTCTTCGCAAGTAGCTTGTCGGGGAAGTGGCAGTAGAAGATGACGCGCGGGCGTGGTTGGAGAAATCGCAGGAGCGGGATGCCGGCGCTGAGCTGGTCGACGAAGAACGAGGAAGGCGCGAGCTTGGGGAGCTCTTCGGTAAACAGGGCGATCTGGAGTATCAAGTGCACCTGGCGCAGGATGGCGCAGAGGATGGCGAAGCGGCCGAGGAAGGCGGCGGGGACGAGGGAGTTGCCGCGCACGCGCACGTCGAGGGTTCCTTTGGATCGCGTCAGGTCTCAGCTGCGAGGCCAGGCAGAAGCGATGCGTGGTTCCGGGGTGCTGAGTAGAGGCTTACCATCGCGCGCCTCATCGAAGCAGTGGGCCGGGTCGCAGTGCGATGTGAAGATGGTCACGTTGTGCCCGCGGTTCTGCAGGCCAACCGCGGCATCGATGACCAAGCGCTCCGCCCCGCCGATGCCCAGGTCGGGGTGGAAGAAGACGACATGCTCTTTCGTGTCCGCCATGCAGGTCGTGTGTTCGCAGAGAGACGACAATTACGTGTTGCCAGGCGCGGCATGGGGTGGGCTGCGGGACACCTTTCCGCTTCGGAACTAGTGCCGAGGCGAGCGCGACAGGTGAAAGATGACCTGGGATGCTGCACCTGACGCGCCCGACGTACATCTCGACAATACCCAGGTGCGTGTTCGGTTTCGTCTGACACAACATCATCTAGCAGTGAATACAGCTTCAACAGCTGCGGCGTGAGATCTGCATCGCCCCTTCCAACATGTTCGTCGCGGCGCCTTGATATAGCTCCACACCCTGGCACCACAACCACGCTCGCACATCAACCACCATCATGGGTCAGGGCTTCTCCCTCACTACGCTTTCGGCTGGCTCGGCCAACATCGACGTGCCCGAGCTGGCTGATCTGCAATATGAGAAATCACTCGGAGCGGCGCGTTTTATGAAAGCCGTGCGCGCCCGCCACAAGGACGGTCTTGTTGTAGCCCGAGTGGTGATGAAGCCTTACGCTCAGTTCGACTTCCAAGAACACGTCAAACGGCTACTCCGTGAGTTTAACAAAGTCACTATTCTCCACACGTAGGACTGACTGACTGTTCCAAGATGAACGCAAAGTGCTCGCTGATGTGCCCAACGCCGTTGCATACCACCGCGTGATCGAGACGGCAGCTTGCGGTTATCTCGTGCGCCAGTATATTCACAGTTCTTTGTACGATCGTTTGAGGTATAATCTGACACTTCACTACCTACACCAATACACTAACGTCTTACAGCACACGTCCATTCTTGGAAGAGATTGAGAAGAAATGGCTTTCTTTTCAGCTCCTTTGCGCCGTGCGAGACTGCCACGCGCGGAACATCTATCATGGTGACATCAAGACCGAAAACGTTCTTGTCACGTCCTGGAACTGGCTGTATCTTGCAGACTTCTCATCATCATACAAGCCAGCACATCTACCCGAAGACAACCCTGCCGACTTCTCCTTCTACTTCGACCTTTCCGGTCGCCGCACTTGCTACCTTGCACCGGAGAGATTCCTAGCTGCTGGACAGCAACCCGAAGGCGAGGGCGATGTCAACTGGGCCATGGATGTTTTCAGTGTCGGCTGCGTCATCGCTGAACTATTCCTGGAAGCCCCCATCTTCTCTCTCAGTCAACTGTTCAAGTACCGACAAGGCGAATACAATCCCGAGCATTCTCATCTCAGCAAGATCCAGGATAGCAGCATACGCGAGTTGATATTACACATGATACAAGTGGATCCCAATTCTCGGATGACTGCCGAAGACTACCTGACACATTGGAAAGGCAAGGTGTTCCCGACTTACTTTTACGGCTTTCTACAACAGTATATGTACTCCATTACCGACCCATCGTCAGGGCGCAAGCCAGTAACCACCGGATCAGAACACCTTGGCGAGCCTGATGAGCGCATAGACCAGATATATAGCGACTACGACAAGATTTCTCACTTGTTGTCCAACGAGGAAGGAAAGGAACTCATCAAACCCGAATTCACCCCTCCAAGACCGCATGCCAAGCTCTTCCCGCTCTTCGTCAACATACCAAATTATCAGCACCAAGCCTCTCCCGCGCGGAGTCTGGCTATCGATGACGGTAATTTGGTTTTTCTAACCATCGTCGTATCTTGTCTGCGAGGAACAGCTAGATCCTCCGCTCGTGTCCGAGGCCTGGAGTTGCTCCTGGCATTCTCCGAACGCTTAACGGATGAAGCAAAGCTGGACCGTGTGATTCCCTACGTCGCTCAATTGCTAGTCGACAAGTCTGAACAGGTCAAGATTGCTGCGTTGCGCACCTTGACACAGATACTCGCCATGGTTCAGGTTGTATCTCCTATCAACGCCTACATCTTCCCGGAATATGTCTTACCCCGTCTAGAGGCATACCTCCCTGACTCTTCTACCAACGTTGGTCCCCTTGTTCGAATGCAGTATGCGTTTTGTATCGGTACTCTAGCAACCACTGCAGCGAGGTATCTGGATATGATCCAGGCTCTGCGCGCAGAGGGGTCGTTACCCAATGCAGATCCCGAAACCGAAGACGACATGTCTTCATCCGCCCACCGGAACCAGTTCGATTCGGATCGTCGCATCCTTGTGGAAGCCTTTGAGAAACACACGAAAGCCCTTCTTACCGATGGCGATGCCTCTGTCCGTCGAGCCATGCTACGTTCTGTCTCTGACTTGTGTGTTTTTTTTGGAAGCCCACGGGCCAACGACGTCGTTCTTAGTCATCTTAACACGTACCTGAACGACCCAGATTGGATGCTCAAGTGTGCCTTCTTTGAAGGTATCGTCGGCGTTGCCGTTTTTGTTGGCGGTGCTAGCTTGGAAGGTTACATTCTACCGCTCATGGTTCAGGCCCTAACAGATCCGGAAGAGTTTGTGGTGGAAAAGACCATTAGAGCGCTTTCATCCATGGCAGAGCTTGGTCTATTTCAGCGGTCCAAGACATGGGAACTGGTGGATATACTTGCACGCCTCACAATGCATCCTAACTTATGGATTCGAGAGGCAGCCGCACAGTTTATCTCAGCTGCTTCCCGATATCTTTCGGTCGCCGATACGCACAGCATTCTGGTCAATCTCATTCGACCTTACCTTAAAGTCATACCCTCTGAGTTCTCTGAAGTACGGATTTTGGAGTCGTTAAAGCCACCCATGTCACGGTTGCTTTTAGATATGACCTCGAACTGGGCGCTGCAGGCTCAGAAGGGTCAATTTTGGGTTGCAGCCAGGCAGCAGCAGACCTTCACCTTTGGGTCATCAGAGGATAGCTTACCTACAATCTCTGGGCGCGAACTAGACCAAAAGATACTACAGCGGCTACCAAAAAACGAAGAGGACGACCTATGGTTACGAAAACTCCGCAACGCCGGTATGACAGCAGAAGACGATTTCAAGCTTGTTGCTCTACGGGAGTTCATTTGGAGAGTGAGCAATCGCCGACGCTCTGATGGTCTCGCCGCTCCGACCACCAAGTTCAACAGCGTTGTCGTACTGAATGACCTTGGTATTAAGGCTCAGACAGTGCTCTTTGATGAAGACGTCCGTCAGGTCATGGAACAAACTAGGAAACCCAGCGCTCCAGAGGAGCACATTCAACCTCGAACGATCAAGGACGCTCTGCTGGATGCATCAACTACGGAGGCTAATGGGCTAGCCGAGCATTTTGAAAGTCAAGCTGGGCGACTGATACGCGAAGAGAGGGGTATCACGATCCCATTGCGATCGAAAATGTCTTCTTCCAACGAGGTACATTCCAACATTGGCTCACCACCTTCCGAGACAGACATGCGGAGAAGGTCATTGCAGATCACGCGGCCATCTCTTTCTCCATCCAATTCTGTCGGCTCAACAGATTTATCCAGCAGCCTTCGCCATCGTAGTAGTGCTTTGGGACTGCTCGGCAAAGGAGAAAACAAAGCCTTGGCTGAGATTGGTACCACATCTGCCAACGCGTTCGGGAAGGTCGACGGTACTCATGTTCGAGACTCCTCTCGATCGCGACCTCCCAACTCCCCTCTCGCTACAGAACGGTACGACCGTAGTCCAATGAGAGTTCGATTCAGGAATGCACATAACTATACAGGTAACGATCCGGCGATTCTCAAGCTATTAGACTCCATGCTTCTTGAGCGCTTCCCTACGGATGAGATCGAGTTTGGCCCTCGCATACAATCTCCAATTAGGCGGCAGCCCATCAGGTACAAAGACGCTCATCAGTCGCCAGCCGGCATACCGTGGAGACCGGAAGGCACTTTGGTGGCGAGCTTTGGCGAGCATACTGCTGCAGTGACGCGCATCTTGGTCTCGCCTGACCAAGCTTTCTTCATCAGTGGGTCAGACGACGGGACTGTGAAGATTTGGGATACGTCACGTCTCGAGCGCAACATTACCCGGAGATCACGACAGACTTACAGACTGGGTGAGGATGTCAAGGTCACGAGTCTGGTTTTTGTGGAACAGACTTACTCGTTTGTCGCAACGGGTGATGATGGTAGTGTACATGTGGTCCGCGTGGACTACATCCAGAGTCATGATGGAAGTGCCAAGTTCGGGCGTCCTCGACTTCTTCGCGAATATCAACTTCCTAAGGGCGACTGTGCAGTGTGGTCGGAACACTACAATGGAGACAACAGATCGGTCCTTTTGTTAGCTACTGATACCTCTAAGGTCATTGCGCTGGATTTGAGGACCATGGAGCTGCTGTACACTCTCAATAATCCTTTGGACCACGGCACCCCTACGTGCTTCTGCGTTGATAAGAGGGCGCATTGGCTACTATTAGGAACCTCCCATGGTGTCCTCGATCTCTGGGACCTTCGGTTCAAGCTTCGCCTCAAGGCTTGGGTATTCCACGGTGCATCGCCGATACACCGCCTCTGTCAGGTCTTCCTCCCCAAGTTGAAGAAGACCCGATTGTATATCAGCGGTGGCAGCGATCAGGGCGAGGTCACTGTGTGGGACTTTGAGAAACACATCTGCAAAGAAGTCTATCGTACGGGACTGTGCAAAGATACTGGAACCAAGAGCACCACCCTCATCGACCTGGACGAGGAGAAAGCTGGTGGCATGCTCGGCCGCTTTTCAACCAGCGTCGAACCGACTGCTAGCTCGACAGCGGACCGCGGCGTTCGTGCACTAGCCATATGCACACAGGCAACGGACGAGAAAGGCGAGTCGAAACATACATTTCTTCTCACAGCAGGCCCCGACTGGAAAGTTCGGTATTGGGACACCAATCGGCCAGAATCATCGACAGTGGTGAGTGGCCTAGAGCCCGACGAAGGTAAACCAGCATATACCGCATCGCAGCCGAGTCCGGATACCATCGTCGTTACGGAGAGATTACAGCAGCCGGCCGGTCAGGTGGGTAATGCAAGGGACAGCCGGGCAAGCACCTCAGCAAAGAAGCCACCAGCCAAATCATCAAGGTCAGGTGCCATCGCGTTGCAGCAGCAGTACTTGCTCAAGGGCCATGTTGATCGTATAATGGACGTGGCCTTGATTGAGCAGCCATACGGCATGGTTATTTCAGCTGACCGATCGGGCGTCATCAATCTATTTATGTAGAGGCTTTCTTCCCTGAATGCAACAGTGCGAAATGGCACCGCCAAGTTTACAGTGCCGGAGTGGTGTCTTAAAGATATAGACGTCGCGAGTGAGTTATGCAAAGTATTGCTTCCGAAGTTGGTTATGGTGACGCGTTAGTGTACAAGCCACGGTTCCGCCCCACCCAGACAGCATCGCTGATCCTTTCCATTCAACACTGGGGAAGTCTCGCAAAGTATTTCCCCAACATTGCTTCGCCATGGGTATGCGAAGCGTACTTCGCGATCGCCGTACTCCGATGCATCCTGGTATCTTATCCCGACACGTGCATACCTCCTTCCCAACGCGTCCTAGCCGACTGTGAGGCGTTCCGCGTATCTTTATGAACACCGAATCAGAGCGCGCGCCCAACTCAGGTGAGAATTCGACACGATATCGGAGATTCCACGCTCATGGATTCGGTTCCTGTTCCTGCAGCGACTATCATCAAGGTGCCCAGATGCTTGCTAGATGCGGTACAGTTTCTGGGTATGCGGCGTAGCTGGATTTTGGTACCGGTTCAACCGGATTAGTTCTGAAAGGGTGTATATAAGCTGTGGGTTCTCAATAGTTGATGTGACGCCAGGAAGCTTGTTACGCTGCTTCTACGTCCTTCATAACCTGCACATCAATTCTACAGCCAATCGTCGACATGCGCTTTTCTCTGAATGCCGCCCTTGCGGTAGCACTGGGCTTCGCCTCATCCTCGGATGCGCTCAAGATCCTCATGGGTAACGATGATGGATTTGGCAGTGGAAATCTGAGGGAACTGTACAAGTTGCTTGTTGATGCTGGCCATGAGGGTAAGGATTTCCATCCTCTTTGGCATGAAGTACTCAATGCTAACCCGTCATCAAGTGCTCGTCGTCGCGCCAGCGCAGCAACAATCCGGCAAGGGCAGCACCGTCATCTGGGCAGAGTCAGCAAACCTCACGATTGCATCTCAGTACGAAATCATCCCTGCAGGCGCACCAGCAGTCGGCAGAGATCCAAGTGACGAGAACATCTGGTACTACGACGGAACACCCGCGGCGTGTACGTTCGTGGCGCTCGACTATGTGCTTCCGCGTTACTACCCCGACTGGCATCAGACAGCCGATCTCTTCGTTGCCGGACCGAACTACGGCACAAACCTCGGTCCCTTCGTGATGCTCCTGAGTGGCACCGCAGGCGCAACTTTCGCTGCTGTATCGCGGTCCATCCCCGGAATCGCCACCAGCGCAAGTAACAAGGCGGTGCCTTATTTCAACGTAACAAGCGCCTCGGACCCCGCCGCGTTGGCTGCCAAGGTCTCTTTCGAGGTAGTAAACGAGTTCATCAAGAACACACCAGAAGGACAGAAAGTGCTGCCTCTGGGTTATGGCGTCAACGTTAACATTCCGGATCTTGTCAACAGCACCATGCCCCCAGTGGTCAAGACGAGGCTCACAGGCGAGGCCAACACGGACGTGGCGGTCTACAACGAGACAAGCGGCCTCTTCACGTGGGACAACGTCGATCCCTTGGCTGCTGGAATCAACGCCGCGTACAATGGCGATACAAGCCTGCCGGGCGAGACTTGGGTCGTGGCTGGCGGCGGTGTTAGTGTGAGCGTGTTCACCATGGACTTCTCAGCGCCGAGCATTGAGTACACAGAGGCGGTTTATAGCAAGGCTGAGAGCTTGTTCAGTGCTAGTTCAAGTGTGAATGAGACGGGCTACAGCAAGAGGATGATCGAGGAGCGTATGCGCAAGAGGGGAGCGATGCTCAGCGGACGTGACGGCGGAGCATGAAGCTCGCGTTCCTCTGGCCGTTGTTAAGTAATCAATAAATAACGCTGATGGCGGAAGCCATGGAGCTGGGAGCAATGCCCCACACCAACCGTTCCTGCCTCAAACACGGACCACGCTCAAACACCAACATAAGTAATCATCGCTTCTGTGCGCGCCGTTCTTTGCTGTCAAACCGCGGACGCCAAACTCCCTCTGGCAATGTAACAGGTACTGTACATGCTAAGCTTTTGCCAAGCTCATGCGCGGCGGTGCCTCAGTCGCAGGTTCTGACGTCCAAAGGGTTTCACAGCCTCGCCGTTCAGGAACGAACATTTCGCTCAGGCCTTGCAGGGTTGCGCGATCCATCGTTTGGCGACGCGCAACGTTTGTAACTTCCAGGCCGATTTCTCCTACTCGTGGGAAGATTCCACCAGGCGCTGAGTCGATGTGTTTTGGTGGTCGGCGCATAGAGCCCCACGCCCGAGATCGTGTACCAGACGGCGCCTGGAGAGGCGCTCAGGCGGAACAGCTCGGCATGAACGAAACCTCAGGATCGGAGATGCTGCTTTGGGTGTGTCTGGCCTACAACTGCGCTTCGTCGAGCAACTTGTATAAGAACGCATTGCAAACCCGCCGTCTTAAGTTTCCTACTATCATCAAGCGTTTTCAATCATCTTCGAGTACTTTAAACATATCCAGCTTGACGCTGTAGATTCCATTCTCATACCCTCTTTTTTACTACCGTAACAGCTGCGCTGTACCTACCATCACTTTTACTCTCCCGAATAATCTATACATACATATTCACCATGTACTTCCAATCTTTCGCCATCCTTTCGCTCGCTGCGTTCTCTGTCGCCGCACCTACTTCCAACAAGCGCGCAGTGGTTGCCCGCCAGGCCGGCCCAGTCCTCGCTGACACGACTTACAACGATATTTCCATCTCTGGCGGACAGGCTGGAAACGCGCAGGCAGAAGCTATGGCAGCCTTCTCGGCACTCGACTTGCAGAACCCAGGAAACATCGATCCGGCGGACCTCACTTTCCTTAATGAAGTAAACCAAGTCGCCAACGATGCGGAGAAGGAGGCTTTCAACCCAGCAGTCGAGGCTGCTACCGGCGATGAAGCCGATCAGATCCAGGTACGTGTTCTTTTACATAGACTGCGCTGCAGACCTAACACTACTGCAGGCCGGAAAGATCAAGAACAAGGTCTTGAAGCTCATGGCCACTGTTATCAAGCTTCAGGCTCAGCAAGCCCAGGGAGATGACACGGTTGCCGACAAGCTTGCGGAGGAAATGACGAAGCTCCAAAACAACATCGATCAGGACACTGCGGCTGCTGGTCAGGTTTCTATTGCTGAGCCGTTCGATGCTACCATCTCTGGCGGAGGCAACTAACGTGGAAGGGAGAACGGTTCAATTGCTGGACTGTAGATATCTGGAGTACTTACCCCCACTCCTTGAAATATTCTTCTGCGCTGCGGCAATAGACCTGGGTAGTAAATTGTTTAGCTACATGCGATTGCAATTGCAATTGCAAAAATAACATACCTTTACAGCAATTTTGTTCAGTCGCCACTCCTTTGAACTGTTCTCAACCGTTTCTCATGTCTCCTAGTGTTTGATTTTATTATTTTCAAATGACCCTAGGCACGGCGATGGCTCGCTCGTTGGTGGCGTGAGTTCTGTCGTATGGCTTGGCGGGCAACACCTGATGGCCGGGACTTGAAGAAGTGCCGAACGTGGAGCCTCGGAACGGCGTCGGCTTCGCGTCATCGCATGTTCGTCGACGTTAAATACTCTGGCCTTAACAACGGCGCACTACACCTTGATACCCATTGATGTTCGCGTAGCATTCATTCTTCGTCTCGTCATCTTTGCGCATTATTCTTCGTCCTTGCGTCATTGGCCATCTGCACACCATGTCGAAGCTATCGCCGACGCTCAAGTCGCTCATCAACGCCGCGCACTCGCGCCCAGGCCCCGTACCAGCACCACCGAGAATCCAGGCTGTATACAAACGGATAGAAGAAGAGGCTACCGAGCGCAAACTCGGGCGACCATCATGGCTGGGCATTTCTACCGCCGCGACCATGACGATGAACTCGCCGGAGTCCATGGTCGCCCTGTACAACAGCTCGACTGCATCCAGACCCGAGAGTGAAGGCGTTGCGACAGCGGAATTCATGCGCGAGATTGGGCTTAAGTGCATAGGCTTCAATGGCGTGAGCAGCCAGTCTTACAAGGGGAACAGCGTCGCGTACTAAGACACCATGTAGATCCCACGCACAATCAACATGCTCAACGCCTTCCGCGCCGAACTTCCTTCGTCGATCGCTTCCAAGCTAAACACCAAGCCTACGCGCTTCCCAGACCCCTCCAACGTTGAGCACATCAACAACCGCGGCCGCGCTCTTTGGAATGCCATCTACCGCCCATTAGAAACCAAACTCGAACACAAACTCGGCGAGGCACACCCCGATCTGCCCGTCTTCATCATCAACAGCGAATACGGCGGTCTGTTCACAGACCCTCCCCGCAAGGAAGGAGCTACCGTGGGCCGAATAACCACCAGTCTGATTGCTATCACATGCTTGAGGGCACAACAAGGAGTTGGACCACAGGTGCTCAGTCATGTCTTTGGGCTGAGGAAGGCTTGGGAAGACGGCACCTGGAAGCAAGAGCCTGAAGCGGGAGAAGAGGAGGGAATCAAGTGGCTAGTTAGTGATGAAGGATGCACATGGGTGCTGGAGAAGGTCGATGAGCTTGTTGAAGCTCTCGGCGGTGGACAGGGAAGCACATTTGCGCCCGTCAAGTCCAAGTTATAAGCTTGTGTCGAGTACATTGAGAGATGACGAGATATATTATGGACATGGCCCAGGAGATTAAGCTGTCGCGATGCCCTTGTCTTGGTCGCGCATTAACGAACGAAAGGCCTCAATACATGATACACGCTACCACATTGAAATATCCGTCGCCCGTCCGCGCGACCCGGTCGTTCGATAATCCCAAGTTGCTGGTAGAAGTCGACCGGCTAATATCTCCATGCCTTCATAGTTCAGCCGATCCGCGCTTATCTCCAAGTCCTTCCCCGCTAACCATCCCGCAAAGCTTGAATTCAGCCCCACCTTCTCCGACATGTTGGTCTAGCGCATCGTCTCATTCGAAGGCTTACGTCCGAGACCCGAGGGATACTCACGTCACTCCGCAATATTGACGGGCTGGAGACTACGATGTCGCTAACGAGTTTACCCTAGCTCACACCGGCTGGGTAAATGAGAGGTGTGTCGCGATCATTGCGTCGTCATCGACGGGAATGTATTCATGATTGTCTGGTTCTGTGTTAGGAGCTTCAATTAGCAGATGATTATGATGTATAAAAGAAGCTGCCTGAAAGGCTTTGATCAGGCGTTTATTGGCTTAGCCATTCGAACATAGCGACGATGGCGACAACATTCCTACTACCACTGCTCTATGCCAGTGAAGCGTGTGCTCAGTATGTTCCCGTGCCGTGGGCATACACACAAAATGAGCCACCCGTTAAGGTCACCGTTGACGCTACGGTTCGACATCAAACGATGATCGGAGGTGGCTGCTCAGGAGCCTTTGGTGTTGCCTGCGACCAGACAGGATCTCGAGGCCTCTCACCTTCGAACCAACAGCTCGTCAGCGACTATTTGTTCAATGAGAATCTCGGAGGTCTTTCTGTTTTGCGCAACCGCGTTGGCTCAAGCCCTACAGACGGCATCCTCGGCAGCTGTCCTACAAGCCCATCCGCACCTGCCAATTACTCAGGCTTGGGAACGAACGATTCCACCGCCGACAGTTGCCAGCTCAAGCTCACACAACAAGCTTTGACAGCTAACCCGGATCTGTTCATCTATGCAGACGCTTGGTCTGCTCCGGGTTGCTTCAAGACCGATGCCACGGACATCAACGGCGGCCTGATCTGCGGCGTGCGCGGAACCAACTGCACGCACGACTGGCGACAAGCATATGCTGACTACCTTGTGGAGTACGTCAGATTGTACGAAAAGAAGGGTATCAACGTCAACTTGATTGGTGCTTATAACGAGCCCGACTTCAATCCTGTCACGTACGCCAGCATGGATTCCGACGGATACCAGGCTGCCGACTTCCTTAAAGTTCTCTATCCTACCGTCAAGAAGTACCGCGAGGACCTGAAGGTGTCCTGTTGCGACGCTACTGGTGCTCGTCAGGAACGTAACCTACTTTACGAATTGGACCAAGCTGGTGGCGGCAAGATGTACGATGTCGCGACATGGCACAACTATCAAAGCATGCCTGAGCGACCTTTCAATACGCATGGTCAACCAAACATGGAGACCGAGTGGTCAGACGGTAGCGGTCCATTCAACACTACCTGGGATACGACAGGCCAGCTGGCTGAGGGTCTACAATGGGCCATCTATATGTAAGCCATAAACATTGCATTCCCTTTTGACACACCAAACTGACTCCACAAATAGGCACCAAGCCTTTGTATACAGCGACACATCCGGCTACCTCCACTGGTGGTGCGCACAAGACAACCCCGGAAACACCACCGGCAGCGACGCCATCCTCGTACGTCTTCGAGGTAACACCTTCGAAGTATCCCGCCGTCTCTGGGCGTTTGCCGGCTACTTCCGCTTCGCACGTCCTGGATCCGTTCGTATCGATGCTATCAGTCCTGCTGAGAACCTCAAGGTTACCGCATTTGAGAACACGAATGGCACGCTGGCTATCCCGGTTATCAATGAGGCGCACTACGCAAGACAGGTTGAGGTTAGTATTAAGGGCTGTAATTTCACGATGGGCGTTGCGAATGCTTATTTGGCGGATAACGAACATAATAATACGATGGTTCGGACGTATGGGGTTAATGGGTCAGTGTTTGTAGCTTCTGTTCCGCCGAGGAGTATGACTACTTTCTTCGTAGAGTAGGCTACGATTCTAGGTGTCTCGATCTTAGCCTAGTCCGATAACACTGTCCTCCTGCCAAACATGACAGGTCATGTCCTACAAAGTTATGACAAGATCATTTGCCTGATGTAGCGCCGAAGCAACCGTCTGGGAAAGCAATGAACACATCGTTCGACCGAACTGTGTTTGATTGTGCCCGGCAAGAGAGCTTGTATGGCGTGTGCGTAGTTTCGTCCACGCCCCGTCTCGTGAGCGAGGACGGTGGGTATAGCCCACCTGTCCCATTTGAGTATAAAGTGATCCAAAAGCGATCATGACATTGAACGCGGGAGTGAAGAGAGACGGCCACTCGTTTGCCGTGCTCCGCAAACACTGTAGGCGCCAGTCAGCGCACCTTTCATCGCTCACTGCGGGTTTTCACCGCCGCTAGGCCCTTTCTGTGTATTTGCGACAGATCGTTTGCTCGAACAATTGCTAGTGGCGCGCAAACGCAAAGCTCCATCAGCTTTCCCTTGCTCAGCTCGTCTGCTTTCTGTCTTATTCTACGCGCTGATCGACTCTGGCGTGCCGCGCAACAGCAAGGAACTACACCATACACGAAAGCTACGATGGGCGACTGTCAAAATACCAATAGCGCATGCACTGGAAACCCTCCTCCAACGATGACAACCCCAGATTTCCCTCCGCAACCTGCCCGGGAGTCTGCGCAAACTCCAAGCCAAGGATGCGCTCAATTGATCGTGCCTTTGGGCTTTGCAGCGCAGCTCCGAGCCGTACAGGAAGCGCAGCAGGAACAAGCAGAGCGTATCGCCAAATTGGAACAAGAGAACGCAGAGCTCAAGGACTTCGCGAAGAGGATTGTCGACATCGCCGACCGCGTTCAAGCATTAGAGGAGCGCGAAGCCTATCGTGCCGCAAGACGCAGGGAAGCAGTCAGTCTACTCAGTAATATGCGAACCCTGCACCAGGAAGCCGACAATGGATTCCAGCAACGCACAGTGGATATGCAACCGGATGACCTCGAGGGAATGTTGGGCGCGTATGGCATCATGTTGACCACTGCAATGAACAACCACCAGCGCATGCTTGGCCAGATGCGTGCGAACGGCCAATTTCCAGCGTACACAACGCCAGTTCCGCAGACTCGACAAGTGCTTGCACCGGTGCAGCGGCTCCACGGTTATCCGCCGGCGTACTCAGAGCCTAGATTGTGCCATGCGCACAGCTTACCTTACTGCCGAGTGTGCGGTAAGTAGACGCCCAACCGTCTCGTTGTCTCGCGGTCGAGTTCTATTCCTGAAACCATCAGGAATTCGACACATCAATACCGGCGCTCCATTCATCTACTGAAAACCGAGTTCAAGGAGCCACTCTTTTTGAGAATGAATTGGGATCACAAGTTTACCTGATGAGGGGAATGGGGAGCTTGGCGTTGGCGGAGTTTGCTTCAGTCCATTCGTCTTGTGTTGGATCCGTTCCCAGACTTGATTGTGAACCAGCGAGGTGCCGGCAGGGATGCCATACAGTATTGCGCTTCTGTTTGTTTAGCATTTTGGGCGATTAATGCTGCGATGCAGGTATTGCCGAGATCTTAATATCGGGAAGGGTATGCCGTGTCTGCGCACTTGCTTAATTCTGACTGCGTTCCAATTGTAGAATAATCATGTCATTGATCAAAGCACGAGGTCTGATATCGGGATAAGTTTATGTTTGTATATGTGAAGTAGAAGCGCGGAAGACGATAGCTGGATGCTGATGAAGCGACGATGAGGTTTGAGAGCCTCATGACGACACGCGACGCGTTCGGCTATTCCTAATCGGGATGAGCCTCGGCTTCTTAGCCTCCGCACATGACGCGACACCGAGCGCGTTTCCTCAGCGGTACTTCGTCGCTATCATCTCTGCAGCTCTCTCCGCAATGCCGTAAATGGCTGTTTGGATATGTGCCGAGATGATCATCGGAATGACGCTCGCGTCCACTACCCTGAGATTATCTACGCCGTAAACCCTCAGTTGGGGGTCGACCACACCACCGTCCTCCTTCGGCAACATCGCGCAGGTTCCTAGTGGGTGGTAGAAAGTGAAGACGTTGTTCCTGATGTACGTATCCCACTCTGCGTCTGTTTCGGTGCTCATGCCAGGATCGAACTCGGATACCCACACATCTTTGAAGGGCGCGGTCATGGCCATCTTTCGTGTGTACTTCGCGGCCTGAATCAAAGCCTCTAGATCGTACGGCGTACCAAGATACCTCGGATCGATGAGGGGCTTGTTGGTTGGATCGGATCCGTTGATGTGGACTGATCCCCTAGAAAGCGGGTGCTGTACACCAGCCAGAAGCGTTGCATACTGCTTACCGTAGCCAGCTGTGCCATTCTTGGGGTAGCCGGTTGTTCCAATATAACCGTCACTGAAGACGACCTCCAGATCTGGTGCTTCGGAGTCCGGACCAGTGAGTAGTTCAAGCTTCTTTCGGTCAACAGCATTCGACTTGTTCGCGGACTGCGTTGCCAGCTGGATGAGCTTGCTGTCGTCACCAAGAGCCTGCTTCCACTTCACGAAGCCGTAGCAGCTTCCGGCATATTGGTAGAGCGAAGTACGGCCGCGCTTCCACAGCTCCAATTCACTGGCCGCCAACGTCGTGTTATACTTTAGGATATCCACTCCGAGAATGTCGGGTTTGAGCTCATACGTCGTCTGGATGCGGAGATGATCCTGTAAGTTCTCTCCAACCCCGGGAAGATCAATGATCTGCTGGACACCGGCGTTTTCCAACACGGACTTCTGGCCTATCCCAGAAAGCTCCAAAATCTTTGGAGAAAGTAGGCTCCCAGCCGAAACAACTACCTCGCTCCTGGCTTGGATCAATGTGCCGTCCATGAGAATGACGCCAGTCGCCTTTGACCCATCCTCATCGACTTGTATCTTTTGGACGGTAGTGTTGAACATGAAAACTAGGTTGTCGCCAGCTTCTGGAAGATAGTCCACGGAATAGGAGCGCGTGTGATTGGATATGCGATAGGTAGCCGGTTGATACATGACGCCAAGATTCGTTCCATTCAACGATTCGAGGTTCTCTTGCACGCCAAGATTGGTCAACGTTGGGATACAAGCCTGAAGTTGGGGCGGCGGATTCTCAGTTAGAGCGACTTGGATCGGGCCTCCATATCCAACACCATCGACGCCGTACTGTGGGGAGCCATTCTGTCGTTGGAAGTTTTCCGCTTTCTGCATGCTTGGAAACATGTTTTGCCAGTTCCAACCTGGGTTCCCGAGCTCTTCCCAAGCATCGTATTCCTTGACAGTGGCACGGTTCCAAACAAGCAGGTTCAGGGCTGAAGTACCACCAAGGACCTTGCCGCGGTTATGGCCTATGGTCCGGTTGTTTGCCTCAGCCTGTGGCACAGTTGGAAGGCTCCAATCGTACGAGGAACCGAAGGTCGAGCCTCTCAGTCCAGGGATATAGATTCGTTGCTCCTCGCGTCCATCCGGTCCAGCTTCGATGACTAGAATACAATGGCTTGGAAGAGCATCGCTGAGTCTTGTGGCAAGTGCAAGGCCGGCTGTTCCGCCTCCAATAACGACCTAGAGAAAAGGTCAGCTCCGTCATGTATTCAATATTGCAGCCTGGAAAATACATACGAAGTCGAAGCTGCCATCGGGTACCTGACATGTCTTCGCACTCGCTGCAGGTACGACACCCAGCACGACCGCGGAGAACAAAGCTGAGATGAGCCACATCGGTGCTCAGCGTCTTGTACACAACAGAAGTCGATACGGTGGTACTCCTGCGTAGTGAACGCCTTAGACGGGAAACCTGTAGGAATAGAGAAAGCGGGAGGCCTGGTGCATAAGATTCCGAAATACTGCACGACTGTTTAGAGCAAGCCTGCATTGGCCACTGTTCAGCCAGGCCCACTTTGATCCATTATTGGCTAGCGAAGACGGCTCAGTATGCGCCTTACAGACACGGCAATGGAGCTCAGATTGATCCTTCGGAGAACCGCTGCCGTGTCACGGATATAGTCCACACAAGATGTTGAGATTGCAAGGCGTCTTATCCAGTTAGGGAAGGATTATCTGAGGGAATCTTTTTGACATTCCAATTGGCCACAGCCTCGCGTGACTACAGCCGATATGCATGCGCCTGCATATCGCTCGCATGGATACGAATCCTTTCCTGCGCCAAGGCGGGAAAACCGTTTGGTTCGATCTCCGGTAATGCTCTCCATACCAGATACCTTGCATACCCAAATCAGCAGCGTTACCGGGCTCGCCTCGCGAGCGCGATTGCTACACTCCCCGTGTTTATAGCCACGTCTTCCCATTGGCTACGACACCCTGCTGATTGACATCAAAGCACCATAACACCGCCATTGCCATGTGTCGGTCTGGTCATGCTGAGCCGTCGTGCAATAGTACAACGAGATCCGTGAGCTCTCAAACACAGATAAACCGCCGGCATTGCGGCAATGGACGGTACGAAGCGAGCCAACAAGAACGATACTTCCCAGTCGACCCCTGCAGCTGAGCGATTCTTCGGCCGCGCGGTGCGTTCGCAGCGTTGACCCAATCCTTTGAAAGCGAAGCTATTCGCCATACGAGGTTTCGCAATAGATCGGGGCGTAACTTTGGTGCAAAGTCTAAGCTCGTACTTTGTTGGTAATTCTTGCGGAAAGCACTGTGGATTATGCGTCTAAAGTTGCTGTCCAGAAGGATTCTATGCTGGTCTGGTCGTGCCACGAATAAGTTGCAAGTATCCCCATGACAGTGATTGTCTTGAATACATTTCCTTACTTGAAACTCAAGGGCCATTCCCGATGATCGCAGACAGAGGTCCGGCATTGATCACCGTCTCGGTGCTATTTACAACAATTGCCTTCTTCACCACCGTCCTACGGCTCTGGGTTCGCAGGAAGCGCCGAGCCCTCGGCTGGGATGACCACACCATCGCAGTCGCGATGATGCTCACGGTCATTGAGGCCGCAATTACCATCACAGCAGTGACGAGAGGTAAGGGAAGACCCAGTGTGTCGCTTTCCAAGGGCGACAAGGAACTCATCAACATGTACAGTTGGTACGCCCAGCTTGTTCTCTTTGCTGCTATGGCTTCGGTCAAGATCTCGGTCTGCCTGCTCATGACTCGAATCAAACACTCCAGCCAGATGAAATGGCTTGCTGGCTTCGTCATCGCCGTTCTACTTATTGCTGCCCTTGAGGTCATCATCGTCCTGTTGGCCCAATGTCAGCCTATTAGCCTTTACTGGCGTTCGGGACCAGGCACGTGCTGGCCTACGGAAGTACGAATCTACTCAATTTATGCACAAGCTGGTAAGGCCTACGAAAGCTATTTCCTGATCTGAAAGCTTACTTGACACCTAGGGATATCGATCATCACCGATCTCATATGCTCCTTGCTTCCTATCATCATTACGCGGGATATCCAATTGCCCACAAGAAGGAAGGTATCGATTTGGGTGCTGATGGCTCTCGGACTGATCTGCACGGCATGTTCTACTGTCAGGGCGAAAACACTTAATTCGAAAGCAAAGGATATTGCCTGTACGTGAAGATTCTCGCGCTGCAATAAAGCCGTACTAAATCAGTTTGACTAGATGAGTACTCTGCCGTAGCCATTTGGGCCATGACTGAGTTATGCCTTGGTATCATAGCCACTAATCTCGCGCTGTCTCGATCTGTCTATCATTATCATTTTGGAAACAAACATCCATCCCAGAACAACAGTGGACCCAGCCATGTATACTGGCGGCCTGCGGAAAGAGAAAGCAGGAGCTCAAGCATGACCAACAACGGGGCGAGTGACATACCACTCAAAACAGCGGCTGGGGTCGAAGGAATAACTGAGATCGAAATGCATGCGTCTTGAACAGATACATAATATGACTTGTTCAGACTTGCTTCATCGTGGTTTCTAGTTCGCTAGCGAATCCGACTCGAACACAGAAGCCTCAACGTCTCACGTACTACCACCAGCAGCTTGAGCAATAACCCTAGCCTCTTCTTGCGACAACCCAACAGTCTCCCCAGTTGGTCTCCTCAACCAAAGGCTCACCCTCGCATCCGTCTCACGCCGTAAATCCTCCTCTGTCCATTCGCTCAAGCGCTCAGCAAATTCACCGGCCTCCTCACCATCCCGTGGTACAGGACGTGCGCCGTGTTGATCACTCCCAGCACCGTCTTTTCGCTGTCGTTTCCGGTATGCGTCGATCAATTCAGCCGTGATCTCGCGCTTTAATCTCATCTTACTTCTTGCGAGCCCCGTCCTGATGTACTTTTGCAAGAGGTCGTTGCAAATGCCCTCATCAAAGTATGCCATGACTGTGCCTCCGATGTGCTTTGCATAGGTGCCTTCTTTAAGCTCCATTAGCTCGACTGTTAGATCCGCGTCTTGGCATACTAAGCCGATCATGAATAGGAAGAGGAGGATGAAGAGGACGAGGAAACCGGTATCAGTCCAGCGCCATGCGTTGCCGGATGCACATATGTGCTTTTCGGTGAGCCAGAGGTCGACGAGGGTTGGTGGGGCGGGTTCTGAAGATACTGACGGTGGTATGTATGACATGGCTGCTTTAAGCTGAGAAAGAGATGTGTATGTTTGCTGATGTGACTGCAATGTTTGTAAGTGTTCTTCGAAGGTCTGACACCATAGCACATACGGAGTAGGCGTCTTATGTGAACGTGGGCAGACAAAGGTAAGATGAATGCGCGGACATTCTTTGATGATCGGGACAAAGGTCTACTGAGAAAAGCGTTGTACGCACTGATCATCCCTTCTGAGGTTAGTGCAAAACATGCTTCAAATGCGTGATCGTACATGAGAACGGTAACGCCAGAATGAGAAGACGATTGGATTTGCATATAACCCAGATTAATAACATAACAAGCATACCCGCGCGGATCAAATTGACCTCTCGCATTTCCAACATGAAGCGCGATCCTCAGTTCCCACCCACACCCATAAAGAACCGTACATCTCCACCCTCGCCCGATCCTCCACTAATAAGTTGCCGACAAATCCCTCCCCGCCGATGCGACCATACTCTTGCCGGACCCAACTTCCCCTGTCTCATCCCCAGTATGGATATCGTCTACCTCCACGTCTGTCGGCGAGAGGGAGCCCAGAACGGCCTGACCAAGCCTAGGGTCTTTCCGTATTGCGCTTGTGCTTATAGCCGGCAACTTCATGTTGCGACGGCCTTGTGAATACCCTGCCGTAGGTGATGGCAGTCCGCGCTCTCCCTCAGATGAAGGCGATCCGCCACTTCCGACGAGCGATGGTGGGGCTCCGACGCTTTCGTAGCCTGCAGTGTCGAGTGCGTTGCGTAGGTCATGAGAGGGTTCGAGTGAAGAGACGCTTCTGGAATGGGTTGATGCGACGGATGGTGGAAGCTTGGATGGTCTGCTGTTTTGGTAGCCTCGATCTCTAGCACTACTATGCTCGGTGCGATCCGTACGTTTCTTGGTGGGCTTGTGGCCGCGGATGACATAGTACCACTCATCGGCGTTGAATGTGTTTCGAATCCCTTGTTTATCGTCCTTCAGATTAAGCCTTTCCTCAGCAGCTGCCATATCCTTCTCATTCAAGGAAACACCTGGGTGTTCACTTGATCGAAGGTGGCTAAGCTGTCTGTCGGAAGACCCTTCTGTACTACACTGTTGCTCTGCCAGATAGACAAAGTGTTCTTGATGTGGCCTCCAACGCGGTCCCTTCAGTGCCTGTTCTCGAACAACCTCGGTAGGACTGGGGCTTGCTCCTTGATCATCGACGGCTTTATGCGCTCCTCCGTTTAGAATCCATTCGTTGTAACGTTGTGTTACGCTCTGGAGTAGGAAGTCGACATCCTCCCTCTCAGTCTTCAGTAGACCTCTTTGCTGACGTGGCAAACCCTTGAAAAAGACGTCTGACAAATCCATGTTCACGGCAGACGTGAAGTGGCTCACAGCAGCATCCCATTCGCGCAAACCACCGCAGCCACGGCCACACCAGTATTCGGAACGTGCGAGTAGGCTGCGGCTAGATCTAGCTTCGGCAAGTTGGTATGCTTCGACAGCAAACCTATGAATCCTCTTGTAGTAGGACCGTACGATTGCCTCGGCCTCAGCCTCAGACTGTTGTGCCTGGGGTGTGCGCTCCATGGAGTTGATGATTGACTGCAAAACTACGCAACGATTGAGGTACGTTTGGCATTGGATCAGACCCATGGCTAGCCTGAATTCGTTGCTGGATTTTTCTTCAATGGGGACGCCATTCGCGATGGATTCAGGCGTGATATCCGAATGGGTTTCGTTGCTGATGTGTTGATCTCTTTCTCGAAGGGGTTGACTTAATGGCGATGCGCAGTCGAAAGATTTGTCGTGTTTGGGGGGAGTTGGGAGACTGTTGATGTATGTAGATACATCGTTAGTACGATTCGCGACGCCGTTAAGGGACTCATGGCCGAGGGCAGCGACCTCTAGGGGCTGCTGAACGTTTGCGAACATCGCGATGAGATAATCAGAAGAGCAAAGCTCCTAGTAATCTCAGGCAAATGTGTCTTGCGATGGCATAGAACTATCAACTTTCCGACTAAAGATGTTCGTGCTTTGGGGATGTCTCAAGCCGCGCCGCATTTGACATAACGTTCTCTACGATAACTCTTTGTTCAATTCCTGCAGCCTTGCGAGAAAGCGGAAAACGTCAACACAAAGAATGGCACGGCCCCTCAAGTGGTGGCTGAGCCGCCATGTCTGTGCGAACAAAGAAGCGCGGTACCAAAAGTTCATCCCCTGAACGGCGGAGTGCTGCCATGACTTCCCAGGATGACAGACCAGTGTGACATGGTAGTATTACTCGCGGTGATGTTCGTCGCTCTTTGATTTGACCCAGCGGTAGGGCAACGACATTCGTCTCGCTTTCGCGGCGGCGCGCTGCCTAAGTTGCGCACTGGTTCGACGGCGCTTGTTCTAGGAGAGGTCAGTATGCTGTAGGGTGTTGGAATCGACGCTGCATTACCTCTGTGCCCTTATCCCCCAGTTGGGCGAGCAAGCCTTCCATAGTGCGATTCTCATCAAAGCCCGACCGACGCTTGGTACAGCGCAGCAGATCCAGCTCGTCATCGTAAGACTTGCGAAACTCCCTGGCTTTAGCGGAGAGGTCGTCGTCGCAAACGGTGCTGAAGGCTTCTCGGGCTTGGTGGAGTTGACGCAGCTCATAATACAACAGACTACGCTGGTATTGTATGCGCGGCAAAAAGTTCTTAAGTTCGGAGAGACGGTCGCAGAGCTCTACGGCCTCGCTGCACGTAGCTAGCGCGTCAAGGAGCTCATCGGGGCCAGAGGCCCTTAGAATATTGCTCTTCAAGAGTAAGCCTTCGGCGCGAGCCTTGTAGCTAAGCGGGCCTTTCAGGAGTCGCTCAACCTCGACCAGGGCAGTGCCGTAGTTACGCTGAGCGGTACACTCTTGTGCGCGCTTGAACAAGGGGTGGGTGCAATATTCGGAGGGCCGTCGCAAGTGAGTTGGCTCGATCTCTTTCGGTAAGCATACAGTAGCGGTACCAAAAGTGAAATTGACGTGAAGGTCCTCAGTACCGTCAAAGGTCGCAGGACGGTGGTTCTCGCGCTCGCCAGAGAGTGTCTGGAAACGTTGTTGTTGAGCTCGCTCGTTTTCCAACTCGGCTTGCGTAGCAAAGCACACGTTTTGCAGCTCGTGTAGGTGGGATGTCTGAGCTTCGAAGGCCGCTTTGTATTGGAGCGCTACAGCCTGCCAGGTATCGCGGTCGACCTTGAGGTCATGGACGATGCGTTCGATTTCGGAGATTTGTTCCATGCTGATCGGCGGCATCGTAGTAATGCACGAATCAATATGTTTGTGGTGGTGTCCAAGATGACGGGGTGGATGTGAGTATTGGCTCGGCCACAGACGAGTAGGTGCCTGGGTGATGTTTAGAGCAGGCGCAACCTACGAAGAGCAGGCGCGGTGGATGGGTCCTGGCCACACCTTCTGTCCACGCATTCCAAGTTGCACCAGGCTTCGTCAGATGTTGAAGCCGCCATGCCTCGATGCTTCGACGAACCTCCACAAGCCAGCTTCTTGGGCTGCCTGTTTTACTGAGGCTACTTCATCCAAGTCTACAGCGCGATTAATCTCACTATATCGCACGTCTTTCTTAGTCGAGGGTGAGGCTTCAACACCGCCTGTCTCAACAACGCCCTGGCTTGCACGGCCGCGTCGTTCCTTGCCCACATGAGCTCTTGGGAAATACTGCTCCATAATGTGCACCATGATGTCTTTGCTCACGTTCTCGGCAAGCCACTTTACGATCTCTCGTCCTTCGTCCTCCATGCCGGGCATCACCAGGTGTCGCACCAGCACTCCCTTCTTTGCGATGCCGTCAGGAGTGAAGCAGAGGTCACCCACTTGTTCGTGCATGGCCTTGATGCTCTCCATAGCCACCTTTGTGTATCCATCTGCTTTGAGTAAGCGACGGCTCGTCGCGTCACGCCACACCTTGAAGTCGGGGAGATAAATGTCCACCAGTCCATCCATCAAGTGTATGCTCTCGAGCGAGTCGAATGACGACGTGTTGTAAATGATGGGTATGTGGAGACCGAGATCGCGCGCATGCAGAATCGATAGGCAGACCTGGGGTACGACATGTTCGGGTGTCACGAGGTTGATGTTGTGGACGCGGCCCACGTCCTGCAGCTTCATGAACCACTCGGCGAGTTGCTCTGGTGTCAGGTCGAACCCGTTGCGCTGGTGGGCTATATCGTGGTTCTGGACACGGCGTTAGTGCGTATGCTACGACGAAGGACAGGGCAGCATACCTGGCAGAACACGCATCTCAGGTTGCACCCAGAGAAGAAGACGGACCCGCTACCGTTGTGTCCCTGGAAACAGGGCTCCTCTGGTCGGTGTCAGCACGAGCACGCCCGGGAATTGACGGTCTTGACCCACCACCAAAGTGAGGAGCGATAGTGTTGACTTTGACAGTCTCGGCTCCTATCAGACACGTGCCTGTCGTCTCGTAACGGTTGACACCGCACAATCGGGGGCAGAGATTGCATTCGCGCAGATGAGCATACGCCAGAGATCGCTTCTTGGCGGCTTCCACTGAGGAGAGCAGCTGATAGCGTGGTATGTAGTCATCCAGTAGGTAAGGCGGCGCAAGGTAGAGGTTTCGTCGGAATGGTACGCCTCGCGCGCGGAACGAGAGGCGTCCAGCGACACCGAGCTTCAAGGCGGGTCGCGTTCGCCAGCAGAAAGCCATCCTAGGAGGCCCGAAGAGGACATCGAGTTGGTAAGACAACGACGCGTAGGGCCAACGTGTGGTGCGATGCTGAAGTTGAGCTGCTGCTGCCACAGCGATGACGACAGCCCCACTTGCCGAGGCTCTAAAGCCGCGCTATCCCTAGATTGTCCCATCCCCAAGTACTTTGAAGAGCATCATGAGGCTTCCAGGAGCTATTCTCTGTCTCTGAACACTCTCACCATCGACCCCGCCTTTGTCCCACGTTGTCGTACTACCACATTTCACGCGTTTAGAGTACTTCATCTTTGCAATAGCTCCGCGCCGAAAGCCTAGTCTGCGAAAGGCTGTAGGCTGTTACACCACCAATGCTAGGCCGGTGGTTTGCTCTGGCACTATATCCAGGAACAATCAAATGGATTTCAGACGAACCTACCAGCTGGAACAATATCTTGGTCTCGTGATACCTTCCCCGCCCGGAGCCTGGGAACACCGACAATAATTGACCACACGAATGCAATACTCTGGTATGATCTATTCAAACCACAAGCCAATACACTTCGAGCAACACCGTGCGCCGTGACAGAGCGGTGTGAACGGACTAAAGAGCTGCATTACCATCATTCACGCCCACATCACGCGCTTCTTCGTCATCTTTGTCCTCTATTACTACCAGAATGCGGGTTCAGGTAGGACAGCTTAATATGATAGTTCAGAGAAGTTGAGTTGCGAGGATACAGATCTGCATAGCTATCCCAACATGGCGCTTGCCGGACCTAGTCGCTGGCAGCCTTCAAGTGCTAATGGACGTCTTCACCGTTAGCAGAAACAAGCTTGGGCATCTGGAGAAGCAGAGAAATCCGCCCAAGACAGCATCTTTAGCAACCCACCAAATGCGATCGATCAATTGCTGTAGCTACCCGTCTGGTGCCCCGACAATGCCCACATCTCGGTCGCCAATACCAGCCTGCCATGCCGACACGCGAATGACAGCTTCGTCGTACTTTGTACTGTTTCCAAAAAGTGGACTCATCGCTGCCTTGTTGAGCAAAACCACCACGTAATCGTGCTACTTGGTCTTGGAGTCGCTCTTGCCTTCTTGGGTGGATTTTTATTGGTACTGCTCGGTGTGCTGCAGACCGCGACTTCCCCAGGCACAGCCAATGCGACTTCCTAGCTGCTGGTAGGCAGTCACTTGCCTCGCACAAGAAAGTCTGCAAGGACGGCACAGCCGTCATCTTAGCTTGTTAGTTAGCATCACCCAAGCGTCCCACTTCACTACCGCTGCACTTCTTCCTCACGTATAAGAGCATCACTGAAGTATCACTACTTCAGCATCGACAGCTTCAGCTTCCACACATCAGCATCTTCCACCCAATCATCGACCCCTCAAACATCAAAATGCGCATCTTCGCTCTCCTCCCCGTCCTCTTCGGCCTCCCAGCCTTTACTGACCTGGTCGAAACCAAGTTCCCGACATTGCTTCTGCCCATGAAAAGCTCCCAGCCGGACACCGCTTTCTATACCCAGGATGACGCAACCGTCAGCCGCAATGTAGGTGTTTACAAGACCCACATCATGAGCCTGCCAGCTACTAACCCGTCGGTCAGAACAAGACAGACACCGAACAATGGACAGCAATCAACTTCGACGTCCCCCAGATTGACAATGTCAAGATCTGCCGCCTGCGATTCCTCATCAATGTCGACCCCTTCAAAAACGCCCCACTTACCCTCAAGGGCGACGCTCCAATGGCTATCAGCATCTCTCGCATCGAAGCCAAGCTGGTCAACGGCCGTAGTACCTGGAACAATAAGCCCGCCATCACTGAACACTACGATGCCTACACTCTGACGGCGAACGGCGCATCCGAGGTAGTCAGCAAATGGTTCGAGTGTCCCATGAAGAAGGCCGCACAATTCGTCATTCATCCGGCTAGCAAGAGAGACTTGGAGCTCTACTGGTTCGAGCTGAACTACGGTGCCGACGATGGAGGCCCACACGGAGTTGTGCTGGAAATGCACTCTTAGGTGTGCAGGCTTCAGATCACATCAGGGTGAGTGAAGACAGATACGGTGGGCAGGAGAATGAGTGGATGAGTTATCAATGGTGGAATTGTCTCTAGAGATCCTACTATTATCCTGAAAGCAGCACAATAAACGCGTTTCCCATACCACACTCCACATATCCACCACGTCATCCATCATCCCTCGCCAATGCATCGGCTATCCTCTCCCAAGCCCTCTCCATCAACCCCGCTCTTTTTGTGCTTTGCATGACACCAGTTCCATCGATCACTACAGTTGCTGTAGATTTCAGATCGGTGAACGGTGTAATCTGATGCGTCAGATCCGTCAGGTCGACTACTTCATTGCCTTGTTCGTCGAGTCTTTTGATGACCACGATGCCGGGTGGGTAGCGACACGAATGCGCGGGCATCAAGTTTTGTAGTTCGATGACACTGTCGGTTCGTCGTGTGTATGAGTTTAACGAATCCAGTCGGCTGTATCGCTCAGTCGAGTTTGGCTTATGGGTTTTGTAAGGCGTGCCGTGTTCGACATGGGTGCTGTTCAAGGTGGTTGCGATAGTGGATGGCGTGAGTGTTGAACACATGTGTGACGACTTCGAATAATGCTGAGGTGTTTGAGTCGCTTGATCAGCGTAAATGTGTCCTCGTGTCGCTCTTCCTCCCTGTTGTGATGACTTGTGTGCGTTGCAAAAGTGGCTGGGCACTTCACTGCGAGCGGACACTTCGTCGCCGCTAGATGATACAACAGCACCGTCGCTACCAGACTTTTCTTCTTCGCTGAAACCATGGTAAATAGATCCATGACTGCCGTGAGAGTGCTGATACGGCGAGCCCATACCCAAGTAATTGGTCCCTGGAACGCGAAAACAGCAACACACAAAAGTCGAGCGCGAATCCAAAATGCAAACAGGAACCAGAGGGGCTCTCCGGTTCATGACCAATATATCCCTCAAAGACGGCATTCACTAATTCCGTTTCAATCGCGTTATGGTTGGAGAGAAATACCGCACGCTAAGCCCGAATGGTTGTACCTCGAGGAACAAATAAGGCGTCGCAGTATGTGGCGTTCGGGCATGAACGACGCTTCAAGCGTGGGATACGAACGGAATTGGAGCGAGCCTAACAGAAAATGTATGGTATCGAGTATTCGCCGTATGCCGGAGCACTCTGCTCTGGCTTCTTCGCTTGCTTAGCGGTATCCGGCTCCTTTCGGAGGCAGTGCGATGTCTTCTTTGCCAGCTTCTTGAGGCGTTTCCACATTGCTTGATCAAGGCAGCCGCGCGTGGTGCTTGTTTCACCTGCTTCACCGGCGACTCTGTCTTCGATGCGCTTGATGTATGCGTTGTCGCTTTGTTTGGTGGGTGTTTGGCAAGAAGAGCGGTTAGAGGTGCCTGCAGGTCCTTGAAGTCCAGTTGAGATGTCGTTTTGAGTTTTGGTTGAAAGTGTGTAGGCGTGGCTTTCGGTGGGAAGATGTTGTGTGAAATACTTCATGATGGTCGGTATGGCGGTGGTGATTTCTGTGGCTGAATCTCTTTAGTATGGTTATTCGGGTTGGGAAGTATGAAAGATCTCTATAAGGAAAGAGAGACCGGTTTATATAGTTGGACTTGATGAAGTGCTGGACGAAGTTCATGTTGCGGAAGCGAGGTGTGGACCATGGTTGCTGAACATACCCAACAACGCCGCGTACCAATGAACTGATACTGTGGACCAGAAAAAGTAATATCATTCATTTCCATCCACCAGAACTTCGGATTACAGTATCACTTGTTCCTGTTGTGATTCGCATCTTCCTCCCTTATCGTGATTGGTGCGATCTCGCCGAAGAATGGGAACTAACCCCAATCTGGAAATATTTGCTAGCGTCTGTAGATGCGACTAGCATTTGTAATACTCAAGATGCGCAGGAGAACTTCGAGAGAGTATAAGTAGGGTACGGACTGCAGAATTGCATTGAGCGGAACAGTCGTTCCTATCCTCTGATCTTCCCTAACAACCTTTTACGTTCAGTTAAAAGCCAAGTCTTGTCATCAGCTCACCATGTCTACACACTCCGCCGTTGCAACAGTGGCTAAGAAGGTGCCTCTTGAGATCATCCAAGTTCCCACTACAACTCCGGAAGCGCAGCAGGTTCGCCTTCGTGTTGAGTGGACTGCCTCCACACCCCTCGATCTACATCAAAACGACGGAGCCTTACTCGTAAAGCACCCTCAGGTCCTTGGTGACAGTGTCGCTGGTACCGTGGTCGAAGCAGGATCGGAAACCAAGCGACTGAGGGTTGGAGATAAAGTGTTCGGCTTTACCTGGAAGACCCAAGCTCAAAAGGCCTATCAGGAATTCTGCACTACAGACGAATGGCTTCTGGCCAAGGTAAGCCACACCCCATCTTGTCGATTTGTCAGGAGAATGCTAAAATGTTGTAGCTACCCGAAGGCTTCACTCCAATGGAGGCTGTAACGCTTCCTAATAACTTCGTAACAGTGTTCCACTCTCTTACGACAGATCTGGGCCTCGAAACACCCTGGCCAAAACCCGACAACTATGTGCCTGACGATGCCAGCTCTGCGATATTGGTCTGGGGTGGCTCCTCGTCCGTGGGTCAATTCGCGATCCAAATTCTACGGTACTACGGTTACACGAACATCTTGGCGACAGCGTCTCAGAAACACCACGAGAAGCTACGCATCCTCGGCGCGCACAAGGTGTTCGAGTACAACAATCCAGATGTCGTCGAGTCTATTTTGAAGTCTGGTGGTGACCGCGGAGTTCCACTGATCTATGACTGCATCGGCAGCCTGAAGGGTAGCATCGGACCGATCGCCAAGCTCGCGAAGAAGGGTGCCAAAGTCGCCATACTCCTACCCGTGGTTGTTCGCGACTCGACCGACACCGAGGATCCAGAGTATGAGATGGATGTGGGCAAAGTGGCTGAGTGGAATTACGGGGTCGATGTGAGAGGCGTGCGAACACATTTCTACCAAGACGTGAGCCATCCTGGTTTCTTGTCAGAGCAACGCGGCTAACACTCCCCAGAATGAGTTCTTCAAACACCATCTTCAGCCCGAAATCATGCCCACTTTGTTGAAGGATGGGGTCGTGACGCCGCAAAAGCAAAGGATCGTTGAGGGCGCGACGCTGCTGGAGAGGGCGCAGAAGGCGATGGACATGCTGAGACGCAAAGAAGCGAGTATGGAGCGTCTTGTCTGGCGTGTCAGCGACGCATACTTAGTACAGTAATGGACCGTTGCCATATCCGTTGTGAACCTGCATATCCAGTGATGAAGGTGAAGAGACAGCGGAATGGTTAACGCGCAACCTTGGAAGCGCTGGACCAAAACGAGCCGCTAGCGCGCCTTGGACATTCAACTGCGCCCGGGCATCTCAGCCCCGAACACCAGGCACGAAAACATGAACGAGTAAACAATCATCAATGCGCATCGCAACCAGCTACTCTGGGCTGTGTCTTTCACGCTGCATGTTCTTCATTCCACGTTGATCGTATGCCTCGACATCGCTGTGACCACCAGTCGTTGTCCAGGTCTGTACAAGTATATGCGGAAGCTAATCGAACCCGCACGATGATCGCTACACTATACACATTCGGACGGAAGCTGAGGGTATACTCGAAGATCCAAGGCTATAATGAGTATGGCTAAGCTTTCTCGGCAACGGTGTCCCACACGTCTTTGGAAATTCTACGAGAAGACAAGAATATCAACCAGTAAATGGCAAAGGCCGTAACCTGGATGGCGAGGAGTAGCACTTGGCCGACCGCGTGTGAGACGTTCGCATTGGCAGCTACTCTGTATCAAACACTAGATCAAGCGACCTTCTTTGCGGCATCCGGTCCATCCGTAGCAGTACTCTTACACAGCCATACTGTGCGATAAACGCCATTCCAAAGTAATGTGGTGCCGTTTAATCACCGCAAAGTAATTCGATCTCCGGCGCCGCGAAAAAGCAAGAAGGATGCATGAAAATGACCCAGATCCGCTATGCAATACATGCGAGCACTTCGCATCGACCAGACACACACAGCACTGACACCTGGGCCGGACACCGATCTCCACTCACTGAGCTTTTCATAACCTCGGAGATAAACTCGTGGTGTTGAAGAAGGATCGAGGCGACTCAGCATCATCGCACGCGAGATTGAGCGGCTCCACCAATTTCCGAAGGCTAGCGCACACCGAAGCCGCCTTCCGATCAAGCCACTGCCACCGGTTCAGTCCGATTTCATCCAACGCAGGACAAAAACTGTTCGAACTCTTCATATGGCGTTCAATGCATCGCAAAAAAGGTAGCGCGCGGTATCGATACACATGACGCAGTTGAAGATCCTGCAATATGGCCGACCAGGTCGGTGGGGAGCGCCATAATCGCATGCATTAAGCCTCGGAGCACCTGAAACCCACCGTACGCTCGCGACCGTTTCAACCCAGGATCATGGGCGCTTCTACCAGGTAGGACGGTTCGTCTATACTGCCGTCTAGGGTTAGCCACTTACGGGAACCGGTTGGTTTCCTGTCAACAGGCATGGTGGCCGCTGTCGCGGGAACATGTTTGCTTGGCCTGCAGTATCGAACGGCACCCTGCGATCTTAGTCACGACATGGCTTCCTGTGACTGGTGGATGAACCGGTTCAAGCATGACAAGAGGACCCACGCCACGTCTGACATCTCAGGAACAGGCAGGGCGTGGGAGTCGTTTGAATTGGGGGCACAGTAAGCGCTGTTCGAGGCTGCAATCCATCGGTCACTTGTTTCGCATGTTTAATGACACGGCCCACAGATTGAGTGGTGAACAGGAATAGTGCCATGCCGCCGTATCGTATATAGATATCTTGGTACTCTTGGGTTTCCTCCATCAAACAACAGTTTCTTCACTTCCAACCACAGCTTCCTTGTGCATCTTAGGTCCGAGACCTCACGTTTTTTTCAACACCACATTCATTCATCACACTCGTTCACGAAGCTAGTCTTCCGTCGATCAATACAGCAACTCTCGCTCTTCTCAAACAACCCAACAACAATCACAATGAAGTCCTACACTGTCGCCGCCGCCATTGCCGGCTTTGCCTCTTCCGTCGCCGCCCACGGCTTCATCAGCGAGCCCGCTCCTCGTATGCCCGGTGATGGCCTCAAGGCTGCCTGTGGTGACCAGTTCTACAACACCCAGTCGTCTGACCACTATGGCAATGTCCAGGGTGCTCTCCAGAACCTCGGACAGGGTGACCACCCCGACTGCCGCCCGTGGCAGTGCAAGGGTGTGCCATTCACCGATGCTGGCGAGATCTTCGAGTACACCGCCGGACAGGTCATCCCCATGAAGGTTGAGATCCGTGCTCCTCACGACGGTGTTGCCAACGTTTCCATCGTCAACATCGCTACCGACAAGGTTATCGGCGAGCCTCTCATCAGCTGGGACGAATACGCCCTGACCTCCTCTCCCATGTCTGCTCACCCTGACTGGACCTCGTTCGACATCACTATGCCCGATGTCAGCAAGGAGTGCGCCAACAAGGGTGACTGTGTCATTCAGTGGTTCTGGGACGCCCCCAAGATCGACCAGACCTACGAGTCCTGCATTGACTTCACCATGGGTGGTGGCTCAGGCTCCGGCAACGCCTCTTCCCCCGCGCCTTCAGCTTCCCCCAAGCCCAGCGCTCCTGCCGCATCCGCCCCGGCTGCCAGCTCTGCCGCTCCCTCCAGCACCGTCCCTGAGGCCACTGCCACCCCCACTCCTACCGCCGCTGAGGAGGCCGCTACCCCTGTCGCCACCGGTGGTTCCGACTCTGGCTCCGACTCCAGCCTCCCCGAGTCCTTCACCATGGACACCTTCATCACCTGGCTCCGCGCCAACGCTGGCACCGGTGTCGCTGACAAGGTCCGCCGCATGGTAGCTGCCCAGCGCGCCCACCCCCGTGCTTTCCGCGTCTAAATCGCTTAGACAAATGCTTGGTACGATAGGTACGACATACAAAACTTCTTGTGTAGAGAGGGGGAGATGGCTAGAGTTACTGTTCGATTCTGTTGTAAATATACAATTCAATGATGCACATATTTGCTCGCCTTGCGCGGCGCTAAAAACCTTGTCGAAACGTGTTTCTTGTGATGTTTCTGCTCTCTACTTCATCTCTTATTCAACTTTAAGATTTGTTAGTATCGGTGACAAATTGGAGCTTTGCAGCTTCGCGAACGGTGATCGGACTTTCCTGCTTTGCTTTGTCCTTAAGAAGAATGGCGAGGCAGGGCAAGAGAGTTATCGGCTTCGCGGTTCCGTCAATGACGTCACCATCACCTAGAACACGCGACGCGTCTCCGGCGCGTCGGCCACCTAGGTACCCGTGGACTTGTCAAATCCACCACCCTTCTCGAATGCGCATCCACTATCCAAATGTATCATTGCATGGCTGCGGATCGAATGACATAGTATTGACGATTCATTAAACTACGGGCTAACAATAGATTACAACATAAGAATAGAGCTCC